CAGTAAAATTGACGAAGCAATATACACTGACTTAAATCCACTGGCTGGTCTCTCATTATCAGGGATACCAGGAGCCCATGACTAGTCATAGGCTCCTGGAGACACTATCTTTACAATTTAATTGTGTACAGTGTTTACTTGTTTGGGTTAATCGTAGCCTGAATTTCATCCGATTACTTCGAGTCGTTATTACTCCCTCAGTAACGTCTAAATCGATCGGCCGTTAATGCCGTCCAGTGACGTCACTACTCCTTTGCTTTAATTCATGGAAAAAGTTTAAAAACACGATTTTCAAGTGGAAAACCAAGAAATATCGTTTGGAAATGTCTGCATCAGGCATGATACAGAATTGCTTTACCTTTTTTGATCGTATTTCTTGTTTAACGTTCAAACTATCAACTGCATGCAGTACTCTGAACCTGTTGTAATTCCGTAATAAAACTCGGTCGCAATCACGCAATAAAATAAATACACACACGGAGCACTTAGTTAAAAAACACAACGATTTGCTTTAATTGAAAAGAAGCTGTTTGGTCCTTAAAGAAGGAAAAAAAAAACAAGGAAACAAGAAAGAAAAGCCAACAGAATGGCCGAATTAATGCTAGAGACGAATTATCCGTTTAGACGGATTATCCGTCTCAGACGGATAATTCGTCTCTAGTGTAAATTCGGTGCTAAGACGAATTATGAGGCAAAATTCGTCTGAGGCTGATTCGTCTGTTAGCACGTCTTCAAGACGTGCTAACAGACGGATAATTCGTCTTAGACGGATTATACGTCTCTAAATTTATATCTAGACCGGGAACGTAGACGGTTTTTCGACAAAGTTTCCACATGAGAGGGACTGGTTTCTATATTTTTGCAATGTTTCCTGGGATAAATAAATAAATATCTAGACACATTATTCGTCAAAATTCGTCTTCGGATTTATACTTTGACGAATTATCTGTCTGACGGATACCGAAATTCGGCCAATCATTAACCTTGACGGTAAAAATAGTTCAGTAGAAAGTCGAGTTACAACATTGGTCTCAGAAACTTCGCATAAACAAAATCACTGCCGAAACCGCAAAGCGGATCTAAATGAAAAACCTACCGACTCTCCGCAATGATTCTTCATTCGCAGCTCAATTCAGCATTTCAGTTTCGAAGACGAGGGCAATTTTGCTGTTTACAATAAAGATTATCGAAATGTTTGAACTCTACGCAAGCATACCAGGGATATGATCCGCTGAATATCAAACGACAATCCCGCTAAAATTTATCATAATTATGCGAATGTTTAGACAATCAACCAATCAAAATCACTTCCCGGTCTTCGGGTAGAAGAGACATCACTGGATGGCATTAACGGGCGGACGATTCTGACATCGCTGAGAGGAGACTCGAAGCAATCGGATGAAATTCAGGCTAGGTTAATCGTTGCTTAGTATTCGTGTGTACCTGCCAATACCCAGGGTCAAGAAGCGAAGATTTTTAACTTCAAATATGAATTAAAAGCAACAATAAAGCATAAGTGATTTTTCTTTTGGAATGGTGGAATCAAATTCCCACACTTAGGGGATCAGATGATGTGAGGAACAGATCACCTGGGTGCCCCCAGATACCAGTATTCAAATCATATAAGCAAACAGACTACAATCACCCACTAAATTCTAGCAGGGGCATGCCAGGGCGTACCGACCACGTGACCTCCTTTTCGCGCGCAAATACCCTGGGACCAGGGTCCTCGGTGGGTGTAAAAAAGGGAATAACGAATATAACGAGGCTCAAGAAACCGGCAAGCGAAGCGAGCCACGGCCAGTTTGCGTCATTCTTTACACTCACCTCCTTCACCAGAAAGGAGCCTGCTGATCCCAAGCTCATGCACTCGCAAAGAAATATTTTGGCGAAATCGTGAGTAGCCCCCCCTACAGACGTGTCAAAAAACCCTGCAGCCAACATCGGGCAAGTCAAGATACAGATAAATTAACGAGATGAACTCTGTATGAAAATGTGTCCATTGACCAATGAGAAAGTCTGTATTAACATGCAGTTGTCCATATTAAGTTGGTTGACGTTGAGAAACAAGGGAGCTCTGATGTGTCTACAAAGAAGGGTTTGACTGCAGAAATCCTTTGTAATACGCTTTTCCATATACACGTTTATAAGTTCTATTTTTTTGACACATACAAGCAGTGCACAGATNTCCTCGGTGGGTGTAAAAAAGGGAATAACGAATATAACGAGGCTCAAGAAACCGGCAAGCGAAGCGAGCCACGGCCAGTTTGCGTCATTCTTTACACTCACCTCCTTCACCAGAAAGGAGCCTGCTGATCCCAAGCTCATGCACTCGCAAAGAAATATTTTGGCGAAATCGTGAGTAGCCCCCCCTACAGACGTGTCAAAAAACCCTGCAGCCAACATCGGGCAAGTCAAGATACAGATAAATTAACGAGATGAACTCTGTATGAAAATGTGTCCATTGACCAATGAGAAAGTCTGTATTAACATGCAGTTGTCCATATTAAGTTGGTTGACGTTGAGAAACAAGGGAGCTCTGATGTGTCTACAAAGAAGGGTTTGACTGCAGAAATCCTTTGTAATACGCTTTTCCATATACACGTTTATAAGTTCTATTTTTTTGACACATACAAGCAGTGCACAGATTGTGTGTTTGTGCGACTCTGTCAAGTGACCTTGTTTTACAGTTTATCCTTTCTATCTCTGTTTCATACTTTCAATTGCAAATTCCAATTTTCTATTTTTTTTCCAGTAATTTTCCTTTTCTAAAGCGACCAACAATTGTTGTAAAACAGTAGCACAAAAACTGGCCGAAGTTAGATTACAGACGCTGAAATCACTTCTACACTCTCTATTAACAATTTAATTCTTTGGTGTTTATTTGAATTTGTTAGCTTCTATTTGAATATGACAGTTTTCAAGGGACTGTTAACATAAGATTGAATTAGAATTGAATTAAAAGTCTTAAATTACATATAGATCTGATGAGCTGGAGGAAAAGAGAAGCCAAAACCCTAATTTCAGTACACTTCGCCATCACGGTAACAAGAGAAAGCAAAAGACGCAAACAATATAAACGGTTTGAATGTATTAAGTCAGGTGTTACAAGAAAATTACCAGTTGACTTTTCCCGATCTTGATGTCACCCAGCTTCAAAGATTGACCATTGCTGTTCTCAAAAGTAACAGGACAAGGTTGAACGTTGCTATTTGGGAATATAATAAAGAACTAGGGTTAGGCATGCAGCGAAGAACTAAAATGAAAATGTAACAAAGCCCAATGATTAAGCTAGTTTACACTTACTGGATGTTCAACGTTATCAAGCAAAGGACAAGGAGTGAAAAAGTTGAACGCATCACTGGAGTTCAGCGAGAAAACGATGGAAGACACTGTAGTATGGCAATTAGCTTTTAAGCACTGCTTAACTGACTGAAGAGAAGCTTGGAGACGACAAGGCTTGCGCACGGAAGGCCAACATTACCTAAGATCGAGGGCAAAGAGCAAAACAAGAAGGGAAACTGGAGGAGGAGGGGGAAAGAAGAAAGGATAGAAATTTCGATCTATGAAAACAACAGGTGAAACAGATGTTTCAACAATTTGATGTGATCAAGGCAACTTTAGTTCCAAAAAGGATATTTGGATCATTGGATTAAAAGAATGAATGCGATCCATTTTGGGTGTTGCCTTTTTGAGCAAATATAAGTAAGAGTGTCAAGTGGTTTCAGCTGAAAAACATTTCAATCTAAAAATATTTTTTTCCACGGACCATGATGAAGATGTCAACACTTGTGAAAAATATGTTGTGTATTACTTTTTGGCGCACCAGGGGAAACCTGATAAGAAGGAGCTGCATATTTAGCAGATCCCTCCCTGGCCCCGCGGATTAACTCTGGCAAGAAGTTCGTTTGCGGATGTGACTCCTGTCTCGGATTTCGACTTCCCTGCCCTTGAAACAGAGCACGCGCGATGCGTGTTGTAATCTACTTGCATTACTTGCATTATCTTTGAAAAAAGCTCCTTCGGGAAAGATAGTAAATATGTATACATGTAAAAGGAGTACTTTCTTTCTTGCCTTCTTGGACCGCAATGATTCAAACTCTCTTTCGATTCCTCAGTTTGGTTTTTGACTCCTCATTCAACGATTTATCCAGTGCTCGAAACACTTGTATTCCTAACTCCTTTACGGAAAAAGGATAGAGACGCCTTTCATAACCGGGGCAGGGGGGGGGGGGGGGGGGGGGGGTGGGGGTTGGGAGGTTCGGGCCCATCATTCCCCCTTGATTTGGGGGCGTTCTAGGACCCCCCGCGCTCCCCCCTGGACAAAAAAAGAAACTTTATAAAGATTTAAAGCCCCCCTTCTTAAGGTGCTTTTTTTTTTAGCCCNACTCTGTATGAAAATGTGTCCATTGACCAATGAGAAAGTCTGTATTAACATGCAGTTGTCCATATTAAGTTGGTTGACGTTGAGAAACAAGGGAGCTCTGATGTGTCTACAAAGAAGGGTTTGACTGCAGAAATCCTTTGTAATACGCTTTTCCATATACACGTTTATAAGTTCTATTTTTTTGACACATACAAGCAGTGCACAGAAGGAAGGAAGGGGGAGTTGGGGCTGGTAGGTTCGAGCACATCATTCTCTCTTGATTCGAGGGCATCCTAGGACCCCCATGGCTACGCCCTGGACAAAAAAAGTAGCTTAATAAATCGTTAAGGCACCACTTCTTAAGCTGCATTTTATTTTAGCTCCTAATAATCGATAAAAATAACCAATACAAACAGTTACCCTCTTACGTACTTATAAAGTAATTAGTGAATTAACATGTGCTGTAATTGCTTCACGGTTACCTTACAGCAATCAATAAGTCTCACTTTTAAGATTTATCAAATTTGAGAGAAACTGGCCCCTTCATACCATTAAAGTGGAGTTAAATTTAACATGATTAGAAGTCAATCACAGAACGAGGTAAAAACTGAAGCGTAATCACAGTCAGTGACTACTAACGCAGACCGACACTCATCAATCGAGTGCTGACGGATCGGTGACCATTGGTATTGAAGGCCACACCCTTATAGCCGCTATTTGTAGAAGCTGTGCGGAAATAAGGCGTTTTGGTATCACTACACCAGTGGTTACACTGCTTGTAACAGTTGGTGTATCCGGAAACAAAAAACCCGGTGTAAAAAGAATGATCACAGATCAACAGCTGGTACGAGTAACCACTATTCATGGATCCAAAGCCTTCCCACAATCCATAAGCACTAGCTTGCTTCCCATAGTTACCAACAGCTTTGATGGGCAAGTTAGTTTTCCGTTTGAAGTGAGCCTTATCTCCAGTTTGGTGATCAACGAAAATAATCTCGGTGAACTGAAGCAAAAGAAAAAGAAAAACAACTGTTGTCATTTATTGGACCCGATCAAATGGAATCAAATGGTGTGTTGGTGCCTCAGAAATGATAACTGTCGGGTGGTGTACACGTCAGGGCCTGAAATTATGGAAAACCTTGATAATTCAAACAACTGAATTCTTTGTAACTAGAAATTTAGAATGTATCATCGCTTACAAGTTAAAACGAAAAACAGCAAAAGCGTAAACAGCAATATCGTAATGAAATATGTTAAATGTTACATCTCCAAATTTAGTCTGCCCTGGATGATAAATAAAAACAAAACCATACTGCTTGAAAATATAATCATAAAATAGAAATCACTTATATTAGGTAAAAATCATCCACAAGAAACCAAGAAAGAAATTTTGTCTTCCAGGTGGGAGACGCGAATCCGTGACTCTCCGCACTCTAGTCTGATGCTCAACCACTGAGCTACTAGAAATACCCCAGCTCACCGCGCAGCCGCAAGTATGATCATTAACGTGACAAAGAACTGCCAAAAATTGCAACTAACGCGAAAAATAGTCAGACTTGCGATTTTTCCCAACATACGTGAAAAATTGCAATTTGTGCTGCTGCCTGCAAACCTAGACATAAGTGGAGAGTCGTGGGTTCGAGTCCCACCTGGAGTCAGAATTCTTTCTTGGATCCTTGTGGTTGATTTTCATCAAAGTGATTTTCTAATATGCAAAACCGCACGAAATTGCTCGATCTTTGTTCCTGTATTTTTCTTTCCTTGTTGTGTGACCTTAATATAACAAATCCTTTAGTGCATTCTACTGGTGAGCTATTATCAGCCTTCCAAAAAACCTCCGCCCAGGTTGGAAAGGACTTTTATGCTGAACGAAACTTTGTCAACATTTCCGTCAAAGTAAAGCAGTTGCTGAAAATCAAGTCAATCAACTTACTTTAATGTTGTTGCAGTTTGTTCTATAACCGTCATTTCCATAAAGAAACTTAGGATTGTAGGTGACTTCAGTCCTGGGTTTGGCGTATTCATCAGTAGTGTAACACATGGTCCATCCTCCATTGTATGACGTCATGTCACAGTAAGCCAAAAACGCATTTGAATGGCTTCCACCATCTGGATCTAACCAGTACATACCATCTCCCCGAGACTGACCTCGGTTCAGAACGTTCTGGCAATCAGTTGCTAAACAATGAATAATTGTTTATATTTAACTGTATTCAAAAAGTTACTTGTGGCTCTGTCTTGCGTTTATATGAATAATGCTCTTTGTAAGGGTTTGAGCAACACTATTTGGACTCAGATCACCACGGGATGTTACCTACGAACGCTCGTGAGAGGGGTGCTCGGAGGTCATTCAAGGGAAGAGAGGAGATTGGTCGCCATTTATCCCAAAGAGGCACATAAGATTAGGGTAAGGTGGCTACTGTTAGCACAGAACGCATCTCTACCAACCTGGTGTTTCGTGGGAGTTTTGATTCAACTTTTTGTCCAACAGTTGTACCCAGTCTTTTCCGTCACAAAACTGCAAATGATTATCTGCCATGCGCAGCACTCCCTTGTTGGCAGAAGTACAATTGGCATCGACCTCCTGAACATGATACTGAAAATCGTAAAGCACATGCAAAAAATTAAGAAATTAACTATGATATTTTATTATGGTTCATATACCACGTACATTGAAATTTACCGATATGGATATCTGATTATCAGAGATGCCTTCTATGAAACTGCTCTATGAGCTTTACCTGTTTGGGTGCTGCTAAGTTTCTATAGCTGCCAACACCCAGGGATACTAGTATGACTATCCAAATCGTATAAGCAAAACAGATTACATTCTTCTGCAAAATTTGTGCAGGAGAATGCTACGAGGGTTAGATTGTTAACTATTCGCGCGCGAGGGAATGTCTTGGCAAGATCGTGAGTAGACTCATGCTCACGTACATACGAACAAAAAAACATGCAGCCAACATCGAGCAAGTACGAGAATGTTAATTTAACGAGATAAGCTCTGTTATCTGTTTAAGAATTTGCCGATTGAACAAAAAAAGGTGTTTGTTGTTCGCTGACGTCTTAGGGAATATGAAACTTTCTGTATATTTTACGGTGTCAGTCATGAGGGGTTTACCTTCACTGTTCGGCTGTAATACGCTTTTTGCAATTCTATTTTCTTTGCCGTATGACAGCGGTGGACATAGATTGTGTGTTTGTGTAGCACAGCTAAAATTATTCTTTCTGTTTTTAATCTGTAAATCACAAGCTGAAATTTTTTAATGTTGTTTTCAGCCCAATTTTCATTTCCTGATCGTTCTGATTGTTAAGTAGAAAAGTAGAAGCAGCTAAAACCACACCCACTTTCTCGAAGGGCAATTTTCCCCGGGGGTCTCCCATATAAGAGTTACGGTAGCCTGCGAAGCGCAGACGCATTTCCGGTCGTCGCTTCTCTCCCTCCGGAGGGAGAGAAGCGACGACCGGAAATGCGTCTGCGCTTCGCAGGCTAGAGTTACGGGGATGCTCGTCGGAAAAATAAAATTAAACCCCCAAGGGAGACTAATTTGGGTGTTGCTCAAGCTAAACTGACCCTAAAAAAGACCATACTTACTAAAAAAGACATCACGGCAGTTTAATTTCTTTATGGACAGCCCTGTGCGACACCTGAATGGTCAAACAGAGTGACTTTTCATCCCAAACACCCTAAGGGAGACCAAAATCTGCTATTTACGCCCCTAAGTGAGACGACGAGCGTCCCTGTCACTTTTATATGGTAGTCCCCACCCCCCCCGGGTCAACTGTAAAATTAAAAGTTAATTACATATCGCTGCTAACTGATGCTTAATTGAAAATAAGAAGCTAAAATCATAATTTCAGTACGCTTTGCCATCTCAATAACAAGATAAGCTAGAGAAGCAAACAAATGGAATATAAACGTTTTACTGATCTATTTCTAAAGAGCCATGGCTCTTGATTTCTTGAAAGTCACCAACCTGATGATCTTTCCCGATTTTGATGTCACCCAGCTTCAAAGATTGACCATCGCTGTTCTCAAAAATAATAGGGCAAGGTTGAACGTTGCTGTTTGGGAAAAAGAGCTAAGGTTAAGCTGCAAAGTACTAAAATGAAAATAAAAAGGGCCCAGTAATTAAGGTAGTTTATACTCACTGAACGTTGAACGTAATCAGGCAAAGGACAAGGAGTGAAAGGTTTGAAGGCATCATATATAAGAGTGATGTGTGAGGAAACGGTGGTAAGCCACTGTATTATGCCAGTTTTCAGCACTGCCTGACTGGAGAAGCTTGCAGATGGCTACGTGAGCACTCGGGATAGCCAACACGACTTAGGGGGCAAAGATTATAACGGCAACGGAAAAAGGCGCGGTAAATTAAGGACGGATATTGATTTCGTCATAGTTTAATATAGTAGACGAGACTCGTTATGAAAGGCGGCAAACATCAAAGATAAAAAATCACGGTGCTAGAATGCTTTGTTTTTTGTTCCCAAATTGTGACGGAATAAATTAATACAACGTTTTTATTGGTCAATACGATCAAAATGATAGGAATGCTATTGAACGTTGTGCACCTTCAAGTCCACAAAACATATAACAACTTCAAGCTTCTTAACTATTACACTGTATTGACTTTGATAAAAAAAAGGAACAAAATTTTGACAAATTGATGTTATCAGGACCACTTAAGCCCGAAAAGCAGTATTATATCGTTGGTTGAAGAATTGATGGGTTCCATGCTGGATATTGCCTTTATTAGCAAATACAGAGTACTAAGAGCGTCAAGTGGTAGGCCCATTCAAAAAGATTGCCATCTAAAGATTATCATTTGCCATAGACCATAATTAAACCTGTGAAAAATATATTGATTTAATTGCTCTTTTATTTGCACGAGATCGATATCGATCCCGAAACTGATAAAATAGCCTGCTCAAAAACCCTCTATTTTCTTTTCAGAGATCGTCGCGCGCGCGTTTTGGAAATCAACATGAAAGTCGCGGGGGACTTTTTGATTAGCAGACCGATCACAGAGAAAATTCATTGCAATCCCCACCTCGAGTGAAGCGGTCCCAAAATATGGAGATTCCCACGATAGCAAATCTGGTATGACACGGGGTAAAAATATGGTCCATTAATGTCGTATGAATGAGAGGGGGATCCTGGCAAATAAAATAATATGATACAAACCTCGAAGTTATGGAAGTGTATCCAACCGGAGATAGTCAAGCACTGCAGACAAGAGAAGAGTAGCACCATCTCAAAAAGAATAAAGAAATCCGTACCCGATAAGTACTCTAAACATGGCGCTGGGGTTTTTTCCAACTATTTGTTCAAAGTGGGCACTTTTATTTAATTGTACGTCCAAAACTACTACAGCTAACTTCTTTTTTTGGGGGGGGGGGGTGGGGGGCGGGTTAAATCGAGAGAATTGTATTGATTTTGAGGTCTTCATGACAATGGAAGCAATCTATCGAGAAGTAATTTTTTTCTGCTGAAACAAGTGGATCGCAATATTTTAATATTTACCATACGTTTTTAACATTTTCGCTTCTACATGGATTTGTAAAACCGGGTTAGCAGATTTCCTGTAATTTTTCTTAAATTCCTCTGTCTGTCTTGGCTTATTTGCTGTGTTCGTTTGTGTTACTCTTTTTTTTTCGTCTTCGCGTGGTTAAAGTTTTCCATCTCCGTCTCACCCCTCTCCCCAAGACGTCCTCACACGTCCGATGGTTTAAGATCTTTCCATTCTTCTTAGGGAGTTAAAAATATGCTGAAACCACGCCCAAATAGGCCATTTTACAGTTGTGGCCTTAGTATCCTAGCCTTCCAATGAACATGAAGCTAAGTTTGACCTTGTTTTGATACAAACCTCCTAAATAAATACTAGGGAACATAAGAATAACATGATAAACATAACAAAGTAGGAAGGGTAGTTGTATCAAGGCGTGCTCAACTCCAGCCTCATTTCCACCTGTAACTGTAAAATGGGCTGTTGGCTATGTAATGTAATGAGTTTCATTTGCAAAAAAGCTAAACTGTTTGTAGTTCCTATTTTTGTATAAGATTGTTGAATTCTACTGCTTGTCATAACAGGCGACTTAGTTTCTTTTGTGTTGGGGAGGCAGGCTTTGGAGTTTACAGCGGTGGGGGAGGAAAGTGAGAAATACTCTTACAGGAATCACTCGATTGTGGTGATCTGACGGAAGAATAGGGCACTGTGAACAGTCTAGCAAAGCCCATGCAGGCTAAGTGATAATATAAATTGTTTAGTATTCTGAATTACGTCATATTTTGACATGAAAATGATCCATAATCCTCATTAGTTGGCTAACATAGTATGTTACCTGTATTTCATCTTTTAAGACTCCCCGGGGGCTTATTTGGTTTTAGTGCTTCTGGTCTAAAGACTTGGCCCAGTAAGAGGGGCTTTACAGATTTTCATGTAAGCTTTTGAGAAATTCTTAATTTTGACTAGTATGTACAAAATTTTTTGACCACTGTGAAATGGTTATAAGTGCAATAATTTATAAGAAACATGCACACAACAAAGCATTTTATGGGTGTAAAATAATTATGTGCACACAGGACACAGTACCAGTTTTCATGTAAGATATCTTTACCAAATAACTCAAATTGCATGAGATATTAACCCATTTGCCTCTAGGAATTTGCTGAAAAACACCTTCTGAAGCTATTCAAGCTGTTTCCTGGTCATTGTGTGGCTACTAAAAGCCAAAACTGGGTGAAACGCGGTTAATAGGTTTAGCACTTCATGGCCTTCTGTTCCAGATGCAAAATATTAGCTTCCGAAGTTCAGGTATGCAACAGAAAGCAAAATTTTGATTCAAATTAAATAATAAATTGGTTTATTGAAATTCTTGCAAGGATGTTGTTGCATACAGCTATTTTGAGAAAGGTTTTCAGAAAAGTGCACATGACAATCCTGAAAGGTCTTGGGGTGGTTTTGAGTTCACTGTTCTTTAAAGAAATTTGAAAGAATGTCACAAGAGGCCAAGGACTTATGTTTGCGAGTGCTAAAGGAAAGCAAGAAAAGTATGTTTGACAACTATGGTGTCAGGAACAGTGTGTTGAACATATTTCACATTATCTTAATGGGATTGTGGAATGCACATTTTTTCCAACAACCTTTCTCAAAATTATAGCTGTATACAGTGCTCTTGAATATTTGGCACCTCTGGTGGACCATGGACTGGGAGCTTTGAAGTAGCGGCATCAGTAAGTGGTGTGAGTGGGCTTACACTCAAATCTGGGGCCTAAATAGGGGACCTACCTTACATGCTTAATGGCATTCTATTCTATGAAATGTACTAACAAGACTATTAGCAGCTATTAGGACAGTTATATCCCAAAAGCATGTTTTGTAAATCTCTAAGAATCTACAACTCTGTCACCAAATTCTGTCTTGATAATCTTTTTACCAAACTGTTTAGTGTTCTGAAGCTCTTTGGGAACTACTTGATCCATTATCTCTAACATTTCCTTAAGCTCATCAGCTATCTTGCAGTCTAAAGTCAGAAAAGAAGTGGCAACCCCAAAATGTCCCATCCGACCTGTCCGCCCACACCTGTGAACATAATCTTCAATGCTGTCAGGTAAATCATAGTTAATGACATGTGCTACTTCTGGAAAATCAAGGCCTCTTGAGCCAACATCAGTGGCCACAAGGACATCCACTTTACCATCACGAAAGGTATCTATCAATTTAAAGCGATAATCTTGAGATTTTTCAGAATGAAGGCCTGATGCATGAAATTGTTCCTTCTTGAGTAACTCAGCGACATAGTCTACATTCTGTATGGATGATGCAAAGACCATAACAGGAGGAAATGGAGTGCTTCTAAGAACTTGAAGAAGTTTAGCTGGCTTTTCATAGTGGTAAAGGAAAACAACATTTTGCTGTATAGTTGGTGATATCAGACCAGTTCCAGGTCCTACCTTAATTTTTATAGGATTTAGAACTGCTGATCTTGCCAGTCTTTCTAATGATTCAGGCATAGTTGCGGTCCAGAGAAGTGTCTGTCTGGCCCTAATTGTACCAGTGGCCAGCCCGACAACCTTTCTCAACTGTTCCTCCATTCCCATACCGAGCATCTTGTCAGCTTCATCCATAACCAAGTATGACACTTTGTCGAGACTCAGAATGCCACGTTCACACAAGTCTAGTAACCTTCCAGGTGTTGCTATGACAACATCAGTGCCACTTTTTAGCTTCTGCACCTGATGTGAAATGGGGACACCACCACATATTCCAGCAGATTGGTATTTAAAGCTGACTGGGGTTACCCTTAAAGGGGAGTAAGTTAAAGACATATCTGCTGCAAATGAATCATAGTCATGTACACTGATGGAACCAGTATTGAGTGGAGTGTAAGATGAATTCATGCCCAAGTGGGTGTTATTTCCAAAGTTTCCTGTCACTGGAGCAGAGTTGTAATTCTGTAAGAGGCCAACATTACCTGATGAACCACATGTTGTGCTCATCGTTAAAAAGTTTAGTAACTCTGCAACATGATCTGACACTTGCCGCATTAGCTCTCGTGTGGGTGTCACAATAAGTGCCACCGGGCCCTCTGCGGGTAAACATGGCTTTCTTGTTTTAAGGAACATACATAATGGAAGAGAATATGCTAGTGTTTTTCCTGAACCGGTCTCTGCTAAACCGATGATGTCCCTGCCATTCATAACACAGCTCAGAGCTTGCATCTGAATTGCAGTAGGACGTGCATAACCATTATTAGCTAAGTATCCTTGAAGTTCCGGGGGTAAATTCAAATCTTGGAAACTTGTGATAGGTTTAGGGCAGTTTTCTCCTTCAATTTCAATTCCATTTTGCCATCTGATTTCATCAACCTGTTCATCTGAAAGCTGGGCAATGCTGTTTTGCTCATGATAGTAGGGTGTCATCAAGTTATCTTCCTTCTCACCTGCTTTTCGTTTTAAATTTTCTCTCAGAGGGACAAATTCTTTCTCCTCTCTTTCTGTTACATTCCCCCTCTCCATTTGAAAGAAAAATGAAAAATGAAATCAAAAGAGCGTGCGAGGTGCGGCGGTTTTAAGTGAAAAAATTATCATCTTGCGTGAATACTCTAATTACCATTATAATGTACCTACCCAATGTTCAGAATTATACCGCTGCCGCTGCATCGAAGGCTCAGAAAGGAAAGGAAAGATATCGGGAGAAAAGTAAAAGCTCGGGAAAATCGAGAAAAATCCGCCAGAAAATGGTTCAAAGTCTAAGGAAGCCAGTCTAGTGTTCAAAGCTATCTTGATTTCACATCTTACGCCTTTTTTCATACAAGATGCAAATTTTCTATGTTAGTGGGTCCATTCTTTTGCTGGCCGCTCTTTGGCAAGTCGGATTTCTTCAAAGCCTGTTTTCCACCTTGTGGAACTGTTTTGTAGCAGTATTAGGGATTTTCTCTGGAGTTATGCTTTACCTCCTTTCAGGAAAACAGAGGATTCCACCGACACCAAAACCATCAAGGAAAGTTGAAACTGTAAGTCGTTTTCTCGCGAAGTTGACTCGAACTCAAACCCACAAGCCTTATATGCAAAGGGTGGTAGTTTCGCGGACTGTTGACAAAACCATTCAAGAGGTTTTTGATTTGTTTATCCGAGATTTTTGCCTGTCATGGTTTCGTGATTTAGGAAAAGACGAAGCAGCTTTCGTTGATCTCTTAACCGAGGAGCTGTGGGTTGTAACAGCAAATGTTGTGGAAAGACTCAAGTGTGTTGACAAGGTGAAATTTTTGTCTAGTGATGTGGTTGAAATTCTGAGCCGACACTTTCAGCAGCTTCGTCTTGCGGATACACGGACCTTCTCAGATAATGCACTGCCTTTTGTGCTTCATCCCTGCCTGAAGAGCAGGGCTGAAGAACTTGATTACCTACGAAAGGCCTCAGAAGTGTTGCTCTATTGTCTTCTTCCTTCCAAGAATTCACGTTGTTCAACAATGCGGTATCTTTTACGTGAGATTTTAGCCTTTTCTGTTTTCCAGCCCCTGGCTGACATGATCTGTGATCCAGATTACATTAATCAAACACTTCTTGTACATCTGGAAGCAAAGGAAGCCCTTGCTGCCAAACATAAGCAGGGTTATGCTTATGCAGAAACATACGAAGACTTCATCAAAATGATCAACACATCAAACTCAGTAGAGGCATTGAAACAAATCAGGTATTACTTGGATCTTTACAGTTACTTTTATCCTTGACTTTGCACCCAAGAGCAGGCACTCAAGGGAAATTTGGGTAGAGGTGTGACCCTGATTAATAATGGAAATTAAACTGAGGGGAGTGCAATTTATCGCATTCGTACGGATCGGTAATGAATGATTACCTCTAGTTTATAATGGTAATTGAACCTAGTGGAGTGCAACATACACATGATTTTGGATGAGTACGCTGTGCGAGTTTGATTTGAAATGACAAGTATGATTTCAGACAAAAGTTGCACGATGTGGAGTTCAATTACCACTTTTTTAAAGCCATTTTGAAATCGCAAAATTCAGTGAGTTGAAAAGATGAATCTGGGAATGCCTTCACATCTCATTTTATATGTGAAACAGAAATGATGTGATTTAGAACAAAAATGATGTGATTTAAAAACAGAAATGATGCAATTTGGAAGATTAATGATGTGATTTAGACCAGATGTGATATTTTAGAGCAAAAATAGTGTGATTCATGAATAAATCACACAGCTGAGAGCCAATCAGATTGCAGGGATCAACAGTGATTACCAAAATCATTCATTTGGCCACCCTGTTTATAACAAGATACCTTGTTTTAGCACCATGATAAATTTTGTTTCGCATCTAGAATTACCGTATTTATTCGAATAAGTGCCCAACCTCTAATTTGTGCCCATCCTAAAGGCAGAAAAAGTTAATAAGTGCCCACCCTTATCCCACCTCCCTCCCACCCCCACTCAAACTCAAATAAGCACCCACCCCCATCCCAAACCCTTTTCCCCTCCCACCTCCAAAAAATTGAATAAATACTAATAAGAGACTTCCCCGAAGATGGACTTTTCTTTGGAGCATTTTACAGAAACCTTGCTTTGTTACATCTTCGCGTTTTGTTAATACCATTTATTGTTTTGTTGCAAAATAAACATACTACACTTGCTGAAAATGTTGAAAATTAATAAGCACCCACCTTGAATAAGCACCCACTCTCAAGGTCCAAAAATTTAAAAAGTGCCCAGGGCAGTTAATTGAAGAAAAAAGGGAAGTGACTTTTTAAACTAAAACAAATTACCATAAAATAAGATTTATTTGAGGAAAAAAAAAACTATTGTTGGTACTACTCACTAACAAACTGCCCATTTTTTTAAGGGCTTTTGGTCTCAAAAGACACCCTGTTCACCCTATGTAACGTTTGTACCCCTTGATGGTTCTTGGTCTGTTTACAAGTAAAACATGCACTTCTCTGCTCCCTCCAGATATCATATTATTGCTGAAATCATGCAGGCAACCACCATTAATAATTTAAAAGGAATTGACCAGTTTGGACAAGATGACAAACAGGGAAAAGTGCTGAAGAAGGACGCTCAGTTAAGGGCTCGCAATCTTAAGCGCTACATTAACCAATGTACTGTTGCCAAATCGCAATGTGAGAGACGTATTAAGCTGTTAGGGGGTCCTGACTATACCAACAATGGCGCTGCTGATGGTAAACAGACTGCAGTGGGACAAGAGAATGTAAAATCTGTCCAAAAATCTACAAAGCAGAGTAAAGCTAAAGTTCTTACTTTTATAGAGGTCATGGACAACAGCTTGGCAAGAAGTTTTTTCATGCTTTTCCTTCAGAATAAAACTGGTAGCAAGAATATGCTCAGGTTTGATTATGTAATTTTAACTTAGACTGTGAGTAGTCTCATAATTTTGTTTTATTCAAAGTTAGTGGGGTTGTGATGTGTAACGTGCAAGTGGTGAAGCAAGATTATAATACGAAGAGAGAAAAACAAGAAACTGTAGTTGTTTTATGAACATGTGCACAGTTTGCAGCCCAGTGATGAAGTTTACTGATTAAATCATAATAGTTACAAATGTATGTATAGTCGTAGCCAACAGCATTGAATTATTTCACAAAGTAAGTCATAACATACAGGATTTTAATGTAGTTTTATTCTATTTGATTTTAAAATATCCTTAAAACATTGAATACTCATAATGCCTGCAGTGGTTGAGTTTGTATTAGTGAGGTTTACAGTTAAGTCATCTAAAATTCATCTCACCTGGAGTTATGTCACCTGAAATTAATTGTTTAATCATTTGAAATGCTAAGTTATACCTCCTGAAAACTTGTCGTGGTCAACAATATGATAAAAAATTGCAGCTAGATACAAAGATTGAAATAGATAAAATGTCTGAGCACTTTGAGTGAAATATGAAACTGTGAAACTCACGTTGGTTGTTTTGTGTCATGCATTTTTTGGCTTCTGAACTGGTCCCTATCCCTCTTCCATTCCCTCAAAACACAATTTTCACCCATAGATCCTTGATCCTGGATCCCTTAACTTTGATCCTTGATACCAAATCCTTGTTTTCCAGTAAAGGCTTTTATCTTATTGTCACTTGCAGTCACTTCCCCCCCTTTAACCAAGTTGATTTGACATTATGGTGATGCCTGACTTGAGATTTGCGTTTTTTGTATGTTCCATTAATGTACATTTTTCTTTTGTTTTACTGCAGTTTCTGGATGGCAGTTGAGAACCTCAAATTAGTCAAACATACCGAACTGCACAAAAGTGCTCAAGAAATCTACCAAGTGTATGTTACACCATCCTCAGACAAATCTGTCATGCTGGACACAACTCTTGTTAGGGGAATGGAACAGTATCTGCAGGGAATGCATGGCTTGCAGGCATTCTTTGAAGCACAGAAAAAAGTGTTCACTTACCTTGAGGAAAAGTTTTACCGCAAATTTGTACTGAGTGCAGAATATTCCATGTTTGTGTGCCAGTCTGAGGCAGAAATGGATGACCTGCGTGCACACAAAAGGGACGAAGAAGATTTGGAATTCAACTGGAATGATGATGCAGATACTACTGATGAAGATGTAAGCTGTATTTAGATTTTATAATATTGTTGGAAGCAGCATTTGCAAGTGGTCACACAAGGACACTGGACTTGCAATTCAGAGTCCCAAAGTTCAAGTCCTTCCTTGACCACATTGAAGACTGACGACTTATTGTTTCTCAGCATTTTTGAGTTCAACTCTTCAACCATGCTTATATACTAGCTAGATGTAACTCAATTGCCTCTTACAAGTACCCGTTGGAAGTCTTTTCCTTGTTATATTATTTGATTATTTTTTTCAGTCATTTTCTCAGCTCCACTTCTTACAGTGTGTATATGCTATAAGTGTGGATACAGTCATGGGTAAAATAATAGTTTCAATTGACTACACTTACTTCTTTTTCTTTATAACTGTATTTAAACGTTAGTTTATTGAAAAATTTCAGGTTGAAGGTGATGAAAGTGACGGAACTCCCAAACTAGGTAAGTAAAAGTGTTGCTGTTATCTCTGAAACAATCATAATATTATTGGTCCATAACCTGTCTCAGCAAAAACGTACAGTTAAAATATTTTCTCTGATTTTATTGCAAAATGATATTTTTTTGTGTCTATCCTAGCACGTAAGCCAAGCACAGTTGAAGAACGAAGTGATGCTATCGTAAAAAAGTTGGAAGTTTTAGATCAAAGACTTGCCTCAAAGGTAACAGTTTGTTTATTTTTGTTGGTATGGCTTAATAGTGAGAGTTACATGTACAGACATACAGTGTCGAAACACTTTATACTGTACATACTACTTCTACTTGGTAAGGGAGAGGTATAACAATGTATTTTGTAACGTAAAATGTTGATTTAATGATGAGCTTATTTATTTTAGACACAGCAACTTGAACTTGTGAAGCGAAGTTATGGAGCTGAAGTACAGGTAGTTTTTCTGATCATGAACAAGTACTTTTAATTTATTTCAGCTTAAATTTTTATTAACTTTTTTCTTTGAATATGGTTATAAAACTGGGCAGTTTCGCTCTTGTTGATTGGTTGAGTCAGTTGGAAATGATTTGATGACGGTGCAATATGTTTTTCTCAACTCTCCCACATGATTTTCCTAGAAACTTCTCCAGAAATGATGTTAGAAATTGTCTTCAGTGTATATTATTGTAAGAAACAAACAGGCAATTATTTTCTAAAAATCTTCTTATTAAAAGTTTTTGATATTTTGCAGAATTTTTACTTTTATCGTATTCTAAATAGGGAGAACTTTAAAATGGAAGTTGAACAGAAGTATTTTGTGGCACATTTAATTATTACAGTACAACATATTATTGATTATCTAAAAACCCATCTGTTAAAATTTGGTCAAATAAGTTTCAAATGGTAATGATTAATTGTAGTAAGCTGTGTGCAAGGTTATAGGAAAATCCAATGAGCAAATTTTATGTAAACTGAGCAAAAGTGAAATTTTAAGGTTGTTTTCAATCGTTCATGCTCCCATGGAAACTATGAAAATGTCAAAATTTACCTGTCAATCCAAATCTTTCATCAGTATACTTTTCACTTGCCAAGTTTCAGCTTGTGAGCTGCAACCTTTCTCTTGTCACGATTTGGCAAATGACATATACAGTGAAACCCCGCCTTACGGCCACCTGACAAAAACTGCCATACATTTTCTTGTAAAAAAACCCTCGTTAATATGGCCACCCTGTTAATACGGCCAATTTTTTTTGCCCAATGGTGGCCGTATTAATGGGGTTCCACTGTACTCACAAACTGCAAAAACTGTGTTCAGCCACCTTAAACTGGTTTTTGAAATCATTAAAAAAATACCACAATTGTGCCAATCCAATAATACACTGTGTATGTTGTTGCAGTTGCTTCATAAGAAACAATTGAAATTACATGCAAATGTAATGCTGTCTTTCCAAGGAAGCTTCCTGCTGATGAGTTAAAGGTCTACCATGTTGAAGGGTGGAAAAAAAATTGAGCAATTGAAAGAAGTGTGCTTGTATATATGGGGATCTACCCTGCGCCCCCATTGGTCGTCCAATATTAGTTAATGCTCTTGTAAGACAACACATGTGCAAGGTTCGATTAAGACGTCCCTTGGGCCACCAGCTGTTGCAGCTCTAGGAGGCAACCAATTTCTTACAATGTACATGCATGCACTTAAAGTATGATGGCTGCATTGAATTATCGAAAGGAGCTGACTGCTTTCTATCCAAAGACTGACATTTAGATTCTCTCTTAATTTTGCCAGGAAATGGAACAGTTGAAGAGTGAAATTGAAAGATTAAAAACTGAAAGAATGCAGCTAGAGTTCCATGTAGAAAGGACAGGTACACTTTCCAACAATAAAATTAATGTTAAAAATATCTGCAGTTTAATAAACAAAATCAATTTATTACATGTACATGTACTATGTTTATTTACTAGATCAGTGGTGTGAGAATTTGGGGAAGTGGAAGATAGAAATTCAAAGTGTAGAGGTGAAATACTGTAGTGATGTATATAACATTATCTTTTATGTCATTAAATAGTACTTAGTCAGTCAAGGCAAAAAAAATTTCTTCCGTTTCTCTAACTATGTTCAAAAATATATATTGAGCAATTACAGCAATTATTACCACCCACAATAATTCAATGCTGGTAACAATACATCTCAGTAATTTCCTAGTTCTTGTGAGAAAACTAGAAAACTAACTTTTGTACATGAGAAAAAACTGTCCAGGGAACTGTCTCACCAATAGTATCAGTACAACAAAAAAGAGAAACTGCAAGCAGAGAGGTGTGTAAGGTTAAGTGTTCATCTGCATGCACATGTAACTTTTTTCTTGTTGTTTTGTGTTGATGTATGTGTGAGCCAGTTCCACTACCTGACTGTCAAGTTGTGTGGTTGACAGCAAGAATACTTTGCATTGACTTTGTAATCTGTGCATATTGTCCTTCAACAGCATGTTTGAAAGTAAAGACCTTTAAATACTGTAGTTAGAAGTAAAAGTTGAAATCTGAGCTTTTACGTTATCATACATTGAAAGTAAAATATTGCAAAAACTAATAATGTGACCAACAAACAGGAATGTTTGTTGATCAAAGATTATGTGTCACATGGCAATCTTAAAGTTGTACATGTTCATGATTGGTTGTGTTAATTTTTATTAAGTGTTGACAGCTATTTTTAGTAAAATATTATTTGAACCTCTTCACTAAGTTTAATGAGTGATTTTGTCAGCAGTGGAATCCAGAACATGGTGAAAGATCTGTTCCAGTTTATGCTATTGTGGTCCACAGTAGAGCAGATGGAAAACAAGATCAGCTGCAGCCAGGAGGGAAATCAACCGAAGGACATGCATATGTTAATTCGGAAGGATGGGTTGTCACAAGAAAGTTCAAAGATTTTGAGACGCTTCATTTAAAACTAAAAGAGGTACTTGTATGTTTATACTACTTGAGATAGACTTTATGGATAATGGTTTTCAAACTGAATTAATTGACATCTCTTATGTTTATTAAGTGCTTACATGTATAAATTATTATATAATTCATTTTACTGCTCAAAGAGCATTTCAATATCTAACTCAAGGTAAATACTCAAAGATGGTGAACATGTTGGACACACCATGTCTTACTTGTAAGTTCAAGTGTCTGAAGGGTATAATAGTCATTGTGGTATTTTGAAATGATTGCTTTGTTTATTGTGTGACTCATGATGATGTAACTTTCAGCTGACCAATGTCCCTCAACAATGAACATTTTGGCCTGATACAATGTTGCAATGAAACATACAGGAAGTTGGTTGTCATCCTCAGTTGACAGACAGTTCATCATCATCATCATCATCATCATCAGCAGTAGCATCATCATCATCATCATCATCAGTACATCAAGTTACATTGACTTTGTTTAAGTGGCAATCCAAAGAAAGGCAGATCACAGTATTTATTCAGTACACAAACAACCTCCCCCCCACCCCCCCTGCCCAGGCACGTATAGCTTGCCCACCCACCCTTCCTTCCCTCCTCCCCCAAGAAAAAAAAAAACATTGTTAAGCCTCTTAGGACTAGGAGACAAAGGAAATTGAGAATAAACCTACAGTGCAGAGTAAATCAAATATTATTTTAATGTGGCTAAATATCATTTAGGCAAAGTTAAACTCGAGCGAGTTGGCCAGCAGTCTTCTCCCACTTCAGTATGTGACCTACGGGGCGGCCCGCGGGGAATTGCAGGGCTCCTTGTGTGCCCTTTTGCTAGTGTTGCTTTGCATTGTAGCTTTGCTTGCTGATTGTTGCGGATCATTTCTTAGCCTTCTTGCAAATCAGTGCGGATTCTTGCTGATAGTCGCGGATCAATGTTTGCCTTCTTGCGAATCATTGCGGATTCTTGCTGATCGTAGCGGATCAATGTTTGCCTACTGCGAATCATTGTGGATTCTTGCCGTCTTCGCCGTTACACACCGTTTTCTACTCGCCGCATGTCTCTACGTAACACAAACAACAGCCTTGCGGCCGGTTTTTTGCCGCTGGATTCACGACTGCCCACTTTGACAACGGGTGCCATCCCAGAAGTTCCTCCTTCTTCTGCGAACGATGTTTGGGAGCCCATCGCATCTGACTAGCGTTCCGGACGTGCCGTCCTTTGCCTTTTTGGCCGCGCCTCCGTGGTCGCTGCCGTTAAATCAGCGCTCTCAGCCGAACAAACTACATCTACAATAAGCGTTCCGGTAGCCTCAAGCGTGGCTGGGGGCGTTCCCACGACGTTCGTTTGCATTCTCAAGCTTTGGATCTGGCTGCGTCTAGTCTTGGTTTCC